AACATGTAGGATCGTAAAGTTTAAAATCATTGACAAAACAATTTAATCAATAATAATTGACCAACGTCAATCAATAGATGATAATTAGAGTTGGAAAGCTACATTTAAAAAATTCAAGGTCTAACTTGCCAACTAATTAAAAATTGTGTGAATTTATGTAATCTTTTGTATTTGAATTAAAAAGTGTATATGAGAAAAAATAATATTATAGTAAAAAAAATTAAATTTAAATTTTTAAAAAATAAAAACTTATAATAAAAATTTAAATTGCAATTCGAATTAACAAAATAAAAGAAGCGTTAGCTTGTACCAGTGACTGGTAACTTATGATAGCATGCAGACCTTTGAGGAAGTAGTTTTTTTCTTTTTTTTTTTTTTGGTGGTAACTATTATTTAACCCATTTGGGCCTGGTACTAAAGATGCTTTTTCACGAGAAAAAAGAGAATGGGAAGAGTGAAATTTAATAGCTTATTTCAGTGAAAAGAAACTAATCGCAGATTTTGAATATGAAAGTAAAAAATAATGGAGCCTAAAAGATTTTCAAAATTTAGAGATTTTTTAGAGTTTCAAAATTGCCGCGAACCTTAGTAAAAAAAATAAGAGAATAATGAGAAAAATAAATTAACTATTTCGAGAGTTTGTTCTTTATTAACTAACTAAAATAATTATGCTATTTACTATCCTAAGTTTATGAAATCTACTACCTACTACAGTTTCTAAAAAAAAAAAAAAAAATTAAAAATTCTCTATATAAAAAAAAAAAAAAACCTAACTAGAGATTGAAAGTGTGAACTCGGGAAATTTAATTGGCCAGCCCTCATTCAAAGCACTTTTTGTTTATAGAAAATTGCATTTCTTTTTAATAATCATCACTAGAATTAACACAAAGAAGTAATACTAATGGTACTTATAATAAGAAAGGTCCGTACCGATCAAAAAACTACTTCTAAGTTTTACATATATGTATTTTGAAAAAAAAAAAAAAAAAGAGAGAGTACATTTTCTAATAGAGCGGTAATGTATGTTTCAAAACTGAAAAAATCTGATACAAATTAATTCAAAACTGAAAATTGTCCATTATTCAGTTTGTGGATTCAAGTTTTTAATTCGAATTGAGATGCGATTTTTATATGAGAGCTTTTTACTGTAACAGAAAAGTTAGATGTGATTTTTTGTGAGAATTTTTAACTATAGCAAAATTAAAATTAAAAACTCAAATTAGTGAAATAAATTAGACATTGAACACCGAGCTCAACTGGTAGGCAATAGCAAGTTAAACCACTTGAGGTTTGGGGGCAAACTACTCCTATTGGACTTTTTCTTCGCAACTTCTACGAAATTTACGATTTGCTTTGTTTTTCGTCTCATCGAGATTTGGTTGACTTTGTTCCATGTATATTCCCATTAAAATTTACGTTTTTTTCCTTTTTAGTTCCATATATTTTTTTAAAAATAGTGTATATCCCCACCCAAGTAGAAATCTGATTCCACTATTCAATATGATATTTGCTCGTACCCTAGGGTGAAATTCTCAATTGTATCTTTATGATGAAATAATTTAGACATAAAATTGAATTATTGACAATAGGTCGGGGTTAAGAAATAGGTGATATTTAATTTCCGATTTGGTCATGCGGCGGATTTACACTATTTTAGTAAAATTTGAATTCATTCACAATTTTAGGTCCCGTTTATTTCACCGATTCGAGTTTTACTACAGTAAAAAGCTCACAGAAACAGTTACATCTAAAGTTTTAGGCCTCGTTCATTTCACTGATTCGAGTTTTACTACAGTAAAAAGCTCACAGAAACAGTTACATCTAAAAAGCTCTCACATAAAGTCACATCTTAACTCGAATTAAAAACTCGAATCAGCGAACTAAACGGGCCCTTACATATGCATATGTAGAAGACTAGAATTCAATTAGTGACCTGCTGTTAGAATATTGTATTCGGATTCAAATTCAAAGGAAATAGTCTATCCAAAACCTGATCTCTCTCTCCATCAAAAGCTACATAATCATTGGCGTTTGAAATATTTCCTATTATGTGTAACTAAATTCTAATGAAACTTTTATCAATTCGTTTTATGACAACCAAATTGAACTATTAATCGGTAATCATCTCTTGTATCTCGGCCATGAGCTATGCGCGTAATGTATACATCTGTACGGTTTTAACTGCCACGTCCAAACATATCGGCAATATGACTAGAGTTGCTTCAATTGTCTGATATTAATTGGAGTTTTGCATAATCAAGATCATGAATTCAAGTATAGAAATTGGTAACCAAACAGAGTTATGAGAATCTGTTGGTTACAAATCCTGATAAACTTAATCGAGTAGTTAGAGCATCTCTGGGCACTCCCTATATTTTAGCTAAAATACCTAGCAACCTCCAATCATGTCCTCTATTTTAACTAAATATATATTATTTTAATTTCTTAAAAAAATCAACTGCATTTATTACAGTTTTTTTTTAAAAAAAAATTAACTCACTTAAAAAAGTAATCGTTCCAAACGGAAACAAATACATAGTCAAATAGTTCCACAATAAACCAAGAGATTACAAAAACTTAACAAAATTTCCACACATACAAAAAGAATAACAAAAACAATAGGCGCGTTTGGAACTCGTTACAAAATAATTTTTTCTTTTGGTATGAAAATGAAAATGAAAACGTTTTCAATCTCAGACAGAAATCATTTTTGAAAATGCGTTTGATAGTTTTATCAAAAGATTATTTTCAGTATAAAAAAACTTATTAATGTCTTTCTATCTCTCTGCTCGAGAGAGGAGAAAACGAGAACAAAAAATGAAAAATGACTAAAAATTATTTTTCGTTTCTCTCTTATTTTACACTAAATAAAAAAAATCATTTTTATTTCCGTTTTTAGTCTTTATTATACCAAACACCGTTTTAAAAACGCTTTTATTTTTTTTCACAAAAAACATAAAAAATAAAAACAGAATCAATTCCAAACACGGTCAATAAATTAACAAGCTCTTATTTATAAGCCTCCAAAAGACAAAAGGCTTCACGCTCAACCAATATAGGACAAAAGACAATATATAAGACTATATATTGAAGACAAAGGGTTTACTCCACAACTGACGTGGGACTCAGTTTCATTTCTTTTTTGCTTTTTCTTTAAATTGTGATTAGGTTTGACAACAGACTTTTAGCCTTTTTTTGATCTTTGTAGTAATATACTAAAACGAGTAGTACTAACATCTTAATTTCATTTCTTTTAGAAAAGAAATATGATAATTACAATGGTAATAATCTTTATGATTGATATAATAATTATGGTAGTAACTAAATTTTCACGTGTTATTAATTTAATTATGGAGTGTTTGTTTCTATCAAATAACGGACGTTGGTAGAAGATAAACAAATACACCTAACCCGATATAGTGTAATGGAACACCTTTTCAACTATTTCAAATAAAATTACGAAAAGTAATTATAGATATGACTCGTATTTGAGATTCACATCGGTAATTATAGAATATAATGAACTGAACACAAATACAAGCTAAAGACACAGTGAAAAACCAGGAAAAAAAATGAAAAATCAACCTGGGTGTTTCACGAAATTGATATCTACTTTATAATTAAGTATTCTACATCCTCTTATAAACATATTTTTCTAAGAAAACAAAAAAAAAAACAAAAGAGAAAAGGTATTTTACAATATCCTTACCAATTAGAAGTTAGCAATCTAAATGGCTTTGAATCTTGTTATTTGTTTACTCTATTCAAATAATGAATCAAATTCTTGCGAACTGCCATTATAAAAACATACACTCCTCTTCTGTGGAAATATTTTGGAATCTTCAATTATACAAATAAGAAGACAAAAAAAAAAAAAAAAAAAACCTAAAAAGATGTATCACTTTTGCTTCTTGAAGAGCAAAACAAAAAAGGCAGAAAAAGATGGTTCACACAGGAAGCAAATACTTTTTAGTAGGAAAGAATAAGAGGAACAAACAATTAATGATAATAAGCCGGATGGGTTGGGCTTGGACATATTTTCATTGCAGCAATTTTCACAACCTAAAACGATATTTTATTAAGTCTCAACACACATATTTGAATATGTAAATCAATATGGTGTTGATGTAATATCATTATCATCATCACTATTATCATTAGTATCCTCATTAATATTGTTACTATTATGTTCTTAATAGTCGAATTATGCGATCAAATAAGTGTCGATGAACGTCTATCGAAACTACATTAAAAAGGGGAAAAAACAAGAATCATATGCCGTGTTTGGAATTGATCCTATTTTTGTTTTTCACATTTTTTGAGAAAAAAATAAAAACGTTTCTAAAACGGCGTTTGGCGCAATAAAAACAAAAAAGAGAAATGAAAATGATTTTTTGATTTAGTGTAAAATGAGAGAAAAATGAAAAACGACTTTTAGTCGTATTTTATTTTTTATTTTCATTTTTTCCTCTCTCCAGCAGAGAGAGAGAGAGAGATACATTAATGATTTTTTTACACTGAAAATAATCTCTTAATAAAACTACCAAATACATTTTTAAAAATAATTTCTGTATGAGATTGAAAACATTTTTATTTTTATTTTCATATAAAAAAATAAAATCATAACGCGCCCATAAATTCATTATCCAGCAAGTTACTTTCAAGAGAATAATCTTTTCCGTTAACTTGCTTTTTTTTTTTTCGCGTTTCCTTGAATAGTAAAAACTTTGTTTTTTTTTTTTCCCCCTTTATCAGTGTACTGAAATAACCCAGGAAAAGAAAGTAACAAAAGCTGGTAAAACTACAAATTATAACATAACCAAAAGATAATAATTCCATTACTCAATCTTCAGAAACTTTAAAGAGCAAAAGAGAAAGGAACATTGTTCAAATATTCAAGGTCCAAAAACTTTTGCACTGACCAAACCATCTAAATACGTCTATATTAACTGAACAACATTAATAAACAAGAAACCATAATTAATAACGACTAATCCTATTTAGAACAGATGGAGAGCGTTAAAAGGCCCAGAAGGATCAAGTTGTTTGCACAAACCGAGATATGTAAGATAAAGAACTCGATTCTTGGCACCAGTGCGATGATTCCTTGAATGCTTACAGAAGTACTTCAACTGCTCAAGCGTCAAACACTTAAGAAACCTTCCCAAAAGCAAGAACAGCCAATTTATCTCCCTCTTCTTCTCCGCCACAACCGGCTTTACGCAGCCCTTCTCCTCGCAATACTTGCAGTCTGGAAATTCAGGGTTTTCCCACTCCTCCGGTGCCCTATCACTCATACCGGCCTTTTTATCGGCAATGAATTTCCACAGCTTTTGAAATTCCTCCGGCAGATTGTACACGATCTCGAACCGTCGGTCGCACTGCTTGCATTGCATCTCGCCGGTGTTTGTCACGATGTTTCGAGACAGCAAGTAGTCGAGGCTGTGCACGGTGGCGCGGCGGGGGGGGGCCCCGGGGAAGAGTACTGGGACAGTCTCGCTCTTTCCCGGTCGACGACCCTGGGGTTGGTTGCGACGTGTGCGGGTTAGGCGGGTGGACTGGCGGGCTGGTGGAGCTAGGCAATGGACGGGAGGCAGCCAGGGAGCTAAATTAGGGTTTTGGGATGGTTGAAGTTGATATTGATAATTTTGTTGAAGTTGTGGAGTTTGGGATAAAAGTAGTCCCTGCATTGAAGGGTACTGTGGCTGCGGCGGCGGCGGTCGAAGCCTGCAGCTCGGAGGGGAGAGTTTGAGAGCAAGGAAATCATCGTCGTCCTCCATTAACTCCCAGTCGATTCTCATCATCTTGTGATCTGTTTCGTTCATCATGATGGTGACGCGAAAAACCCTAATTTTCAAGAAAGAGGAGAAAGGTGACAAACAATTTCTTTAGACAAGTCTTATGAATGTGGTGAGCCAAAAAAAAAAAGTATGAAAATGTAAGAAAATATATGATTAGAAAGAAGAATAAGTAAATAAAGTGAGTCAAAGAACCAGAGACTTCCACCAAAAAGAAACAAAAAATTATAATAAAAATAAGGATATATATATATATATATATATATACACAGATAAACATACACGGATTGCCTACCAATGAAGTTATGAAATTAGGGTCAAAGACATTACCTTTTTAATTATATGTCTACCAGAAAAGCAAGAGTGAAATTATGATTATGAGAAGCGAGATGCATTGAATGAAAAGGCAATATAAAAAAGGAAAGAAAAAAAATCATGTGAATTTCTTCTTCGCCAAAGGAATAAATGACTTTAACAAAGAGAGAAGCTTAAGACAATGAACGAAGACAGATGAAAAAGGAAAAGCAGGGATGACACTCACGCACCAAAGAATTTGTCTCACCAATGCAGTGTACGAAAAAAGTTGAGAATTTCCCTCAACTATATATAAACATGACGTCTATGGGGATTTTTTTTATAGTGAAAAGAGACAAATTAAAATATATGGATTTGAATTTTTATCATATTAATATTATTTTTAGTCAAAGAACTCTACAAGTCAAAAGGAGTAAAAATCGAGAGCCTGCATTTACGTAAGTTCAACAATTTCTCTTTTTTATTAAAAAAAAGATAAAAAAAACGACACAACTAGCGTCAAAGATATTTAACAAATTAAGATAGTAATTGAAGGGTCGGCAAATTAGTTATCTAGAGCCGTAATTCTAGCACATTTTGCCCGTAAAAAATTGCACTACGTCTAACAACTAACTTTTTGAATGGAAAGAGTACTGATTAAGAGTACAGATTTTTTTTTTGGGGGACAATTACCGGTACATATATTAGCGACAAAGAAGTAGAACTAGAAGACATAAATCTATGGTCTAATATAATTGTAAATGATCCTCAAATACAAGGTATTCGATCACATATCAAGATTGAATCCACCAATAAAGACCAATGAAGCATAAGAACACGAGTTCTGAAACTAAAGGGAAAAAAACCCACTCAGCACATTAATAATCGAGCATAATAAAAGCTCGTTTGTTATATATGATCTAATATAATCACAAATGACCACTAAATGTAAGGATATTCGATCACAAATAAATATTGAACCTACTAATAAAGAAAAATGAAGTACAAAGACAAACATGATTGCTGAAACCTAAAGAAAAAAGCCCGCTCAGCTCATTAATAATCAAGCATGACAAAAACTCTTTTTGATAAAACCACTACAAATGGAGCAACAAATCTGGGGATTTAGTCACACTAACACCCCATAAAATCTAACTCAGCATGATAAATAAAGCAAGCAATAGTGTGGACAATGAAATTCTCAAATCTCGTAACATAAGAACTTTTACAGCATGAACACTAGATAAAAACACAATGATATATCATTAATAAGCACACCTTCCTCACCCAACATAACATCAGAGTTAACTCAACGTCACTTATAACTAGAAAAGTAAGGGAGAAATATGTAAATGTGACTTAAGAAATGTCGTCATTATATCTTTGTCACCGAATAGTATAAACTTAATATTTATGTCACCCAATTCACCAAAAAATATCTTGTTAATATATTTCCAACTGTAATCACGTGCCTTGCTTATATGTTGTGTTTAGAACTAGGGAAATAGTAGAAAATATGCAAATATGAAAAGCTTAAGAAAGTATATAGGTTAATTTTTAGTTATAAAAATTAATAGGTCATAACTTGTCAAGTTATGGTTAATAACCAGATAAGTTATGGATAAACTTGTCAAGTTATGGTTCACAGCAAGACAAGTTATGGACAATTATGGACAATAACTTGTCAAGTTATGGTTCATAACCAGACTAGTTATGGACGAAAACAGTAATTTAGCCTATTTATTAACTTATGTAAACTATTGGCCTATTAATTTTAATTCATCTCAAATCTTGACATATTTTCCTCTTTCTCCCTTAGAACTATAGTGATTTGTTAAGGGAAAAGGAGACAAACCCTTTTGATGTTTGGCTTACAAATATTGGCCCGCTAATTTTTAATCAAATAACTATACTAGTCAAAAAAGCATTAATAAAAAATAAAAATAAAAATTTAGATTCATGCACTTTTTAAATAAATTCAACAATTTTCTCTTTTTCTTAACATTAGACTTTGTCAAAATGCAAAATCATAACAAAATTAAAATATGTATATATATATGTATAAAATTGACGTAATCTAATACAGATTTGATATTACAAAATAAAGCATTTTCAATAAGTAGCGGAGGAGCCACTTCACGAAGAGGGGGCAGCCACCCCAGTCAACTTTTCAAAATTTAATTTTGCAGCTCTGAATCTTTTCAGTAAATTTTAGTTGTGCCTCTATGTTATTATAAAAACTATAAATGTGCCCCACTCAATAAATCAAATGTCTTTTGTCTCCATTTTACAAGAAATATTATAATTGTGTTCACTCAATAATTAAAACATATAACTACGCTCCATTTAATAAAATACTATTTCTAATTGTTCACCTGTGCCCCATGTTGAAAACCTCTTTTAGCTCTGCAATTTGCAGCCGCCCTTACCAATCTTTTTTTTTTTTTTTTAAATAAAACTTTTTTTATTTTCCCGTGTTACCACTATTGAGATTCGGTTTTTTCATTTATATATGTCCATTAAACTTTACACATTTTTGTGTTTATTTTTTATTTTCGAAAAAGTAATGTATGTCCCCATTAAAGTAGAAAAGCATACTCCACCACTGAATATAGGATTTTTTTTTTTTTTTTTCACAGCACAAAATTCTCAATTGTCTTATTGACTGTACTCTCTATGATGAAAAATCCACTAATTTGGTACAATCATATACAATCTATATATAAATGTTGCAGACAATAATTTCTCTATGATGAAAAATCCACTAATTTGGTACAATCATAAACAATCTATATATAAATGTTGCAGACATAAAATTGAATTATTGACTAGCAACTTGCATGTAGTGGGGTTCGGATTAAGAAATATGAGATATTTATAACTAGAAAATTAAAATATTGACAAAAAATTTCTTAGACATGCATCTGTGGAAGCTCAACCGACTATTGTTAGAATATTATATTCCCATTCAAATACGAACTCGGGAGTCTCTCCAATAACCGGATCTTCATCTTAACGAAGCTCCATAATCCTTGGCATTTGAAATCTTTTCCTGATTTTGTGTAACTAAATTCTAGTTCAACTTTATCAATTTGTTTCGTTACTAATATTAACGAAATAGTCTCAACTCTCAACCGGTATCTAGTATGTATATATATATATATATATATATATATATCAAATATTCATAAATAATACTATTAACTGCCACAGGCGATATAGCAGCGTCGTCGATCGGGCTTGTATTCACTTTTCAACTTGCGAGTGCTAGTTTTGTTGTTCGATATTTGGAGTCTTGTCTTGGATCGTTATAAATTGCTACCTTAAAAATTAAAGGTTAATATCTTTTTTAATTACCAAATTCAGAAGGAAATTTTTTTATAAAAAAAATTAAGACTACAAAGTGCATTTTCTTTTTACATACTTTAACACAATTTAAACTCAATATGATGTAAACACTATTGCCTAAAAACTCTTGACAAATTTTGTTATTATTGTTGCTGTTTTTAAAACGATTTTATTAGCGGAATTGGAATAGGTAAAGATCGTGTATAACAAATTTTTTTCACAATATAAGGCTCCGTTCACTTTGCTGATTCGAGTTTAGAATTCGAGTTTTTCTACAGTAAAAAGCTCTCACAAATAATCACATCTAACTTTTTTGCTACAGTAAAAAGCTCTCACATAAAGTCACATCTAACTTTTTTACTACAGTAAAAAGTTCTCACATAAAGTCACATCTCAATTCGAATCAGCGAAGTGAACGGGGCCTAAGTAATCCTATTATTTACATACCCGGATGAAGCAATTTCGTAAAATCCGAAAAATTCTCCAACAATTTTTTAGCGGTCGACTTTAATGTACCTTTTTGAGTTTTTTTCCCTTAAACATTATTCGAGTTTAGTGATAAAATAATCGGTTATTTGTCAGATATCGTGTTATTTCCTTTTCATCCTTCCGAATATATATTATCCATTCCGGAAAAAAAAAAAAAAAAAGAAGTAACAAAAACTCGCAAGACTACAAGTAATAACCAAAAGGTAATAAATTCCATTCAATCTTTGAAAGCTTCAAGAGCAAATTAGAAAGCAACATAGATCTATTAATTAAAGGTCCAAAAACTTTGCACTGACCATAAGAAACCATTAATAATCCTCTCCTAATTAGACCAAATCGAGAGCGTCAAAAGGCCCAGAAGGATCGAGTTGTTTGCACAAACCGAGATATGTAAGATAAAGAACTCGATTCTTGGCACCAGTGCGATGATTCCTTGAATGCTTGCAGAAGTACTTCAACTGCTCAAGCGTCAAACACCCAAGAAACCTTCCCAAAAGCAAGAACAGCCAATTTATCTCCCTCTTCTTCTCCGCCACAACCGGCTTTACGCAGCCCTTCTGCTCGCAATACTTGCAGTCTGGAAATTCAGGGTTTTTCCACTCCTCCGGTGCCCTATCGCTCATACCCGCCTTTTTATCCGCAATGAATTTCCACAGCTTTTGAAATTCCTCCGGCAGGTTGTACCCAATTTCGAACCGTCGGTCGCACTGCTTGCATTGCACCTCGCCGGTGATTGTCACGATCTTTCGAGACAGCAAGTAGTCGAGGCTGTGCACGGTGGCGCGGTGGGTAGTGGCCCAGGGAAAGAACACCGGGACAGTCTCGCTCTTTCCTGGTCGAAGCACCTGGGCTTGGTTGCGACGTGTTCGGGTTAGGCGGGTGGATTGGCGGGCTGGTGGTGTTAGATAGTGGACGGGAGGCAGCCAGGCAGCTAAATTAGGGTTTTGGGATGGTTGAAGTTGATATTGATAAT